GAATACTTCAATATTTTTGGAAGGTCATTTGTGTATTAATAGGGAAAGCAATGGGCCCAGTATGCTACCCTGCGGAACTCCCACGGAACAGAGCAGAGACCCGGACACAGAGCTTCCATGTTTCACAACCTGACACCTATCAGTCAAATAAGAGGAAAACATTTGTATTGCAGATGATGAAAGTTGAAAAGAAATCAACTTTTGTAAGAGAGTATAATGATGAACTGTGTCAAACGTCTCCAAAGCTTACTAAAAGTAATAGATTCTTCTGTTTCCTTATTCTAAATCACACAGTAATTCTTTCAGTCAAACCTAAAACATTCACTTTACCTATTAAATTTTATAACAATTACAAAAATATCATTGATATATACTTTTCTACACATATTTATCTTTTTTATTTATTTTTTAAATCTAAATATGTGTTATTCATTATACGGTTTTGCTATTAGACACTGTGCTGTTTTAGAATTCTGTGGGATTCACATTTTCTGAACTGCAGGCAAAACGCAGAATATCAGAAAAAAATTAGGTTTGTCCTGTGTTTTTTTAATGTTTTTATTTGATTTTGTTGTTACAGCAATAATTCCAGTTAAATATCTTCCTTTTAGACAAAACCACACTTAAAAGGCAAGCCTTGGAGGGCAGGCAGGCGTCCCAGAAAGCCAGCTCTGGCCAGGGCAGACAGCCTCCTGGCTCAGCCAACAGAAGACTTCTTCAGACCTCTCAGGTAAACTGGTGCACAGCTGTGGGCAGGAAGAGTGAGCATAATTACAAAAGATCAGTCATTCGCTGGGTTTGAACTTGTTTTGCCGACGCTTTCATGCCGTCTAATTCACAGCATGACTTCTATTCCTGAAGACAAGATGTTGCCAATAAACCCGAGTTTAAAAAATAAAAATGTTTATTTTTGACAACTTATGCTTTTTGATGATGTTTTATTTCTTTGTCACAGGAAAAAAAATAACAGTGGAAACATCCTGCTGGTCTAAGAATTTCATAGTTTAAAACATGTTTTTGTGTGTGTGTGTTGTGTTTTTATAGCCTGCAAAGCAGATCACTGAGCTACTCCGAGCATGTCCAAGTACTCACTACACTAACTTAAATGAAGGTAATGTGTTCCACATATGCCTACATTAATCCCCTTCTTTTATTTAATACCAAGGTTATAATAGTTTTGGATTTTTCATTGTTGTTTAGTTTTATTTTGTTGTGAAATTTTTCTTGTAATTCCGTTAGTTTTAATTAGTTTTAGAGTAGATTTGCTAGTTTTATTAGTTATTTTTGCTTTTTTAATGCTTAGTTTTAGTTTAGTTTTCATTAGTTTTAATATTTTTT